AAAAAAAAAAAGACATGCTAGGTGAATATGATAATGCTATATATCCAATATAATGTCATATTTAATTAAAAAAAAAAACATAAAGCCAACAATTTTTTAAACGACGAAATATAAAGGTAGACCTAATTTTTGAATAGGCAGTATTATTGTGTTTATATTTAGTATATGTTCAGCTTTTTTTTTTAATGGCAAATATATATTGCGTTTATATGACTTTAACGAAAATAATTTTTGTTTATCTCCAGTTTATGTTGAGTATATAAAATATACAACACACATATACATAAAATATACATAAAATATACACTCCAGATTCTCGTAATCCAAGCCAGCAATAAATCGGGGCACGCATATACGTAAAATATACTTTAAATATACACTCGAGTTTCAATCGTTTCTTAAATATATTTTGGAACCCACATATACATAAAATATACATAAGATATACACTCGAGATTTTCAAAATTCAAGTCAGTGACAATCGGGACACACATATACATAAAATATACATAAAGTATACTCTCGATGTTCAATCGTTTCTCATTTCAGAACCCATATTAGGACCCCGAAACCGCAGCCATGACCCAGTTTAATGTCGAGAAGTTCATAACGAAGTTTCTCGGCCTCGCAGGCAATGAAGACGAGGACCTCCTCGACTATAGGAATTCTCCGATCACGGTGAAGACGACTCTGCCTCCTCTGCCGTCGATCGCCCTCCCCCACCCACCTCCGATGCCCAGGTCCCGATCGTCGCGCGAGCAGTCAAACACGAATGCAAAATTTGATGATACGCTCGGCTGCAAACGTATGACGCTGGAAGATGAAAAGCTGCGTTTGGGCTTTGGAGAACGCCGCGCAAATTTCTGACGGAGGGCGGCGAGTTTCTTGAGCTTCTGGTTGTTGATAGCGTTTTTTAGCAACAGTTTCTGGTGTTTCTTCCGACTCCTCCATCGGCATCAAAATCTTTTTGGTGCAAAAGAAGTTGTGGGAGAGAAATGAGGGAAATAGGGTTTGCAGTTATAGAATTGTGGGAGAGATAACGATTAAGAAAAATAAAAATTTACAAGATTTTGAAGTAATCCCCACTATTTTACGCGTAACTGCCGGGTATTAATTATTCCCCACAAAATAATTCATTAACAAAGTTCTTTACTTTATTAATTTGAATCCACCATCGTATTTTTACAAATAAAAGTACATAGATGATGCTTTTACAATAAATTAATATTTGAATCGTATGTAGAGTAAATTTCTCATCCTAGGGGGTTCAGCCTAATAATCTACACATATATAAAAAAAAAATGTCAGGGTAAGTGATAAGCATTAATTTATAATATTCATTGTCACACAAATTATATTTTGTGCACAATTTATTGAGTAGCTGCATGGTATTGCCAAAACCTTGGCTCACAATTATTTTAATCAAGATTCAGTTATTCCATGACTATGTTGATGTATAAATAAATTTTGAATCCACGCATACCATAATGAGTAAGATTACAAAAAAAAAAAAAAAAAAAATATAGTCAAATTTCATAAAAGAGTGGTTTATTTATTTTACTTTTAATTTATGTAATAGAACTAAATCTTAGGCATATTGTTCTTAGTTATGAACATAAGAGGGACTTTTTATCTTTATTTTATTTTATTTTATTTTTTTCAAGTGATTTGTCTAATAATCAATTAGCGAGAGTTTGTGCGTAGCTAGCTACCAACCCTACACCATAAAATCCATATTAACAGAAAGTGAGACAAGGTCGAATGTTAATTTGCAGCACGCCTTTGTCACCTACTTTAATTACAGATGTAATAATGATGGAACATTAGTTATGCTTTGGACCCTTCACAAATCTCAATCAAACTCAATCATATCGAGGTGCTCTTCTTGTGTCCCGTAATTTACATCACACAAACAAAGGAACTGAAAAATAAATAAATAAATAAATAAATAAATATAATGTTAACACGAAAAAGAAGTAATAATAACAATTAAAAAAAAAAATGTAAACTAGCGACAGATAAAATAATAATACAACTAACAGGGGTTGACTCAAGTGGTAAACAACTTGATGTCGCTTAAGTAAGATCTCGAGTTCGATTCCTTGTGGAATGTTGATGCAGAAAACTCTTGTTGAGAGACTCACCCATCACTGTCAGGTGTGCGACCGAGGTCGACCAACGGATTAATCAAAGCATAGTTTCGAAAAAAAAATAATAATAATACTACAATTTAGTCTTTTACTTGAGGATGCATGCATAAAAAATTTCCACACAAGATCTCGTCTGCGAGCGTCAACAGCGTTAAATTTCGTCAATAAATCATTAATTATGTCAATTAATGATGTAACATGAAATTACACTTGCGCAAACTACTCGCCTTTATTATTACAGCTAAGCTAAACTACCCAAAAGGCGTAATTAGTCAGTGGTAAGCTGTTAATTTATTCATACAAAATTAGTATCAAGAATTTAGCCAAACATAATTTTTCAACGTACAACTTTAAAAGGATATATTTTTAAAAGGAGTATTTTGTAATATGTAATTGTATAAGGATATATTTTTAACTGGTCGAATTTGGGTTTAAAAACATTAAGATTGTTGTGTTACACAATGTGTGTTTTGAATTACAACGGGAACCTATGAACTGACTGAAGTGTTCAGTTCTTACAATTTGAACTAAAACAGAAACGAAAAATTACAAAAGAGGAAGCGAAAATAGCCGAGGCGATTGCTCTTTCCGCAAGACAAAAACGCCCCGTATAGTGCTGACGGGTTCAGGCGTCTCGTCCCCAAAGATACAACGGCTTACGTCTCGAACGCTGTAGCCACTTAAGGCTGAGATAAATGGCATCATTATTCTCAAAACGTTTCA